AATTTAGAATCTACACTACCCCAGGATGCTTCCACATAACTTTCAGCTTTTCTAGCAAAGTGGTTCTTGAGAAGAAGACTTATCAAAGATTTTTCATTTTTTATTACTATGTAAAACTTTCAAAGATTTTTCCCACATATTTCTATGTAAAACTTTGATTCCCCATTGTGGCCCCGCCCTATCCCCTGGGCTCATGATTTTAACAATTTAGAATCTACACTACCCCAGGATGCTTCCACATAATTTTCAGCTTTTCTGGCCCAGTGGTTCTTGAGAGGAAGATTTTCAAAGATTTTTCCTATATATTTCTATGTAAAACTTTGATTCCCATTGTGGCCCGCCCTACCCCTGGGAGTCATGATTTGAACAATTTAGAATCTACACTACCCCAGGATGCTTCCACATAACTTTCAGCTTTTCTGGCCCAGTGGTTCTTGAGAAGAAGATTTTTAATGATTTTTCCTATATATTTCTATGTAAAACTTTGATTCCCCATTGTGGCCCGCCCACCTCCCGGGGGTCATGATTTTAACAATTTAGAATCTACATTAACCCAGGATGCTTCCAGAAAACTTTCAGCTTTTCTAGCAAAGTGGTTCTTGAGAAGAAGATTTTTAATGATTTTTCCTATATATTTCTATGTAAAACTTTGATTCCCCATTGTGGCCCCGCCCTACCCCTGGGGGTCATGATTTGATATAGAATCTACACTACCCCAGGATGCTTCCACAAAACTTTCAGCTTTTCTGGCAAAGTGGTTCTTGAGAAGAAGATTTTTAAACATATTTCCAAACTTTGATTCCCCATTGTGGCCCCGCCCTATCCCCGGGGGTCATGATTTTAATAATTTAGAATCTTCACTACCCAAGGATGCTTCCACATAACTTTCAGTTTTTCTGCCCAGTGATTCTTGAGAAGAAGATTTTTAAAGATTTTTCCTATATATTTCTATGTAAAACTTTGATTCCCCATTGTGGCCCCGCCCTATCCCCGGGGGTCATGATTTTTACAATTTAGAATCTACATTACCCCAGGATGCTTCCACATAACTTTCAGCTTTTCTGGCCCAGTGGTTCTTGAGAAGAAGATTTTTTAATGAACCCAGCCATTTTTTTCGTTTCTTGATTATCTCCCCTTGTGAGGGGACTTGGCCCTTGATTTTTACAATTTAAATTTCCCTTCACCCAAGGATGCTTTATACCAAGTATGGTCAAAATTGGCCCAGTGGTTCTTGAGAAGTAGTCGAAAATGTGAAAAGTTTACAGACGGACAGACGGATAGAAGGACAGCTAGACGGACAGACGGACGACGGACAAAATGTGATCAGAAAATCTCACTTGAGCCAGCGGCTCAGGTGAGCTAAAAACTGATGAGCTTAGGTAAAAGAAAATGTGTCGCTTTTCAAAAGAATAGGTTTGTCATATTTAAATTCTATACTAACTTGATAAATTTTGCATAGGTTTTTTTTGAAAGAATTTATTGACCTATATGCGTTTTATATATGTCACAGAATTGCTACATCCCTGATATTTCTGCATTATGCCTCATCTGTTTCAATACCTGCCCTAACCTTTTTTAACAAAACATAGTTAAAACCTTATCAGTAGCAAGAATGGACTCTGTGAACATGAAATATTACAACTTTTAAATATCTACTAATCATTTTTTTTTAAATAATAGAAATATGTAGATTGAACTTTCTTAACGCCATTTAGATTAAGAGGTTTTCTTGATTAAATCTGAATAGGTTTTCTTATTCTGAAACCATTTTTTAGAACAATCTCTTTTCAACATCACCTTCATATTGAATCAAAATGACAATTTTACACGGATAACCTCTATCGATTATAATTCAGATATGGGATTTTGTATATTTAAACTAGTGTAGGAGAGGGGGAAAAAAATCAATGTCCAATGGGATTTTCACTAATGGATAGCACGTGCCGTGTTACCTAACTATACATTGTTGAGCCAGCCTGCATATTATTTGGTAGCACAGAATAACATATCAATAGCTCACAGGGCATACTTGGCCGAACAGAGACAAAGACGATGGTAAGCTGCAAATTCTGTTCATTTTAATAATATTTAAAATCCCTTTCTTACTTTCAATACCGGTATTAATTTTTATCGAAGCATTTAAAATTGAATATTCTCCTTTTATCAGCGCATAATCACTGTATGCTTCACTAGAGCATTTAAAGATGCTTCTGAGATTCAAAAGATTTCAACAGCTAGTTCAGTCTAAATGACATAATAATAATAATAATATTGATTTATTTTTTCAATGCAACAAAAAGCTTTAGATCGTGTTATATTTAAAGTTTATTTAGTACCTGTTTTATGCATTTTTGATAATAACTTTAACATAATTTTTTTTTCGTGTTCTCATTTTTAAACTTATTTGCAAAGCAACCATTCAACTAAGTAAAACCAAATAATGACAAGGTATGTTGATATTTTTTTTTCTGAATAAAGAGGTCATGAATGCTAATTTTATAGATTCTGAAAGGGATCCCTGAATGAGTTTGTTTTTATGCCGTGCTTATGAAGTTTAGAAATCGATCACTGTTGTTATCTTCTTCGCCTGTTTTATTTTAAAAGCTACGTTTTATCTTAATAATTTAACAGAGAGAGATTCATTCATCCAGGGACAATACTAATTCTAACGAATTTATTTCAGAAAAACGATTGTGTGTGTAACACGTTCACAAGTGGAAGACTTTATGATCAGGCGTTGGTATTATTAACAGCTTAAAAGTTAAAAGTAAGTAAAGAAAATAAAGTTTATTCTCCTTGAAAGGATATTAATCACCCCGGGTTGAATACTCACAAGAAAAAAAAGAACAATAGTATCTACAGATTGTAGTTCTAAATGAAAAGTAAGTTATGGAACTTTTATTATAGACCGGTCAATGAATTATTTAAAGTGAACTATTATAAACATTTGTTTATTACAACAGATTACATATATCCAAAGTTACCTTCAATTCGAATAATGACCATGTTGATTAAAATTAATACAACACGCTACAACCTAGATTGATTTACTGTATTAAAGGATATGGAAAAGGAAGGGTAATTCAAAAAGTATTTCCTCTCCATTCATCTGTGAAATCTTTCAACGTAGACCCTAAATTCAAACACCCTAGTTTTAGCTAAATTGATTCCTCGCCTGTCATATTGACTTTAAAAAGAAAGAATCGCTTTTTTATATCCCGGTGTTTAACACCGAAGAGAAACAAGCCTCTGACATATGATGGTAACAAACATCATTCAAGCTAAAAAAAATTCCTTTCAAAAAAACAAAAACAAATAAGTATCAGAAAAAAACAACTAATGCATTAGAGAAGAGGTGAAATCATGTGCCATGGGAAAGTGAGCATCCCCTGGAACGGTCACATCTAACGTTTACTCCTTGTCATAATGAAAACAAAAAGTGAAAAAAACCTCTAAGAGAGTTCAGTATATAAATAATAGTCTAACAATTCGTATGAAAATAGTCGGTCAGGAATTGACGTAATGATAATTAGATTACAAGTATATGGCAATAATATAATGTAACATTGATTTTGTGCTTTTTTCGACAATTTAAATTGCTCAATTTCTAAATATGCAAAAGTTTTTTTTATAGATTCATATCTATGTAATATATGTTGTTCAATTATTAATTAGATACAAATATACCAACACCTTTCTCTTCGGATAAAATATTACAACACAAGATTTGTGTGAATTGTCATTTATTCAAAATGACAATGTGTATAACAATGTAACAATACAATAAATGGGGAGATCCAAAAACCTAATACAAATATTCTTTTACATAACAAAGTAAAGTTGTATAATGACCTCAACCTGTTATTTGTCAAAATAATGTACGAAATAAAACATGTAAAACGTACATGTATATATACGAGGGTCATTCAAAAAATACGTAGATTATGTTCCTCATCGTCATATTATTATTACAAGATGATATATGAACACATTATCGTAAATATGAACATTTATTTTGTAGAAGTTTGAAGGTTTATTCCATTTGATCAAATAGAACTCAAGTTAGCCAATTTTTAAAGCAGCATGTTTTGTTACCACGGAGCACGGTTAACCAACATTGTAACGTCAAAAACAACGCCGAGAAAGTTTCTCAAAATTACTCTGCTTTTTAATTTCATGCACGGTTTGTAGCATTTTCTCCATTCACAAAAACGTATCCATAACACTTAACATCTAGTTTGCTAACAATTGTGCAAATAGCTTGAACAAGGTTATCAGTGTCTTCAAATTCTTTACCGCGTACATGTAACTCAATTAGTTCTGCAACAATGAAACGCAAATCACGTTCGTTTCATGACGTTCTTTTGACAAGATTTTTTAACTAAAACCTGTTTCTTTGCAGTCCATCCATCGTCCGATTCAAACTCGCTACCACTCAAAAATTGAATTTTCCATATTTATACAAATACACGGCTTATTTTCATATATTTCCTGGCTTGTACAGAATTTTTCAAGTTTGTTAAAGAAATTTCCCGAATGCAAAGCAAAATTTTATTGCTACTCTCTGCTCCGTGATGTCCTCCAACGTCGTTTTTTTTTGCCATTTTTAAACAAGTCTTAAGAAACTGAAATCTTTAAAACGGAGCGATATATGACATTACCTGATAGCATCTTAAGTAATACAGCAAGACTAAATTCAAACATGTAATTTAAATTTCGTTTCACCCCCATTTATTAGAGTATGGCTTTAGATACTATAAAGTGAAAATTAGTAAATTACTCAATTTTGACATTGCTCCGTGCCATTGTTTTTGCTGTTCTAAATCTTCGATAACTTTTATAAATATGAAGATATATTCCAATTTTTCTACTTAAATTAATTCGAATTTGTTGTTAAAATATGTGTACCAAATTTGGATATGATATGACTCTCTAAAACAAGCAAAAAGCTGGAGATAAAAAATAAAACGTAATTTGAACAACATAATAACTTATTTCAGATGCGGGATGTCGATAACGGATGGGCCTGGGTGATCATGATGGCGGCATTCTGCACTCAGTTCGTAACCGGGGTGTTAGGTTACGGGGTTGGAGTGTTTCACAACGCATTCCTAAATGAATTTCAAGGGGATTTAACATTGACATCACTGGTGGGATCTGTGTTTGGTAGTCTGCTTAGTCTTCTAGGTAATTTATTTATTTATTTATTTATTTATTAAGAGAGAGAGAGAGAGAGAGAGAGAGAGAGAGAGAGAGAGAGAGAGAGAGAGAGAGTTATTAATTATTTTTCAAATTTCCTGTTTAATATGAATAGATTGACTTTAAATCACAAAAATGCATTTACAGGACCTTTAGTGAGCTTTGTCATCAATAAATGGAGCTGTAGAGTAGCAGACATTATATCGGGAGTTTGTATATTTACCGGGCTCTGTTCAAGCTACTTTGCTCCAAATCTAATTACTTTAATATTCACATTTGGAGTTATTGCAGGTATGAAATGTAAGTTATTCTGCTACCTTTTTTCAAAAATGAATTATATATATAGTGATTCATTTGATAGTTAAGGTATATTAATGCACGAAGGTAAATTAAATAGTTGTTTATCGTAAAGGAAGGATATTTATTCGCTATTTATGATTTCTGATACTTTTCTGCCTACCATTGATGCTTTAACACTTTATTTTTCATAGGAACTGGCCTTGGTTTTAGCGGAATAACAGCTGTTATTGTTGTGGGATATTCCTTCAAGAAATATCGTGGAATCGCTGTTGGTTTGAATGTAGCAGGTGCAGGACTAGGGATGTTTGCATCAGGTCCTTTCATCCAATATCTGATTGATCAGTATGGACTCCGAGGAGCTTTGCTCATCTTAGGTGCCTTTGGAGGTCAAAATATTGTATTTGGCGCTTTGATGAGGCCAACAAAAATAGAAATGTCGTACAAGCATTCTAGTAAAACCACCTCAGAAAATAGAAAAATGTGCGACTTTCGCTGTGATATTCTTAAAAATAAGCCATTTCTTTGTATTTTGACATGCTCATTTTTATGGAATGTCCCCTTTGCCATTTTGTTCATTCATCTACCGCGGTTTTCAGTTGTCTATGGTGCCACAGATATGCAAGCAGCCTCATTAATCACAATGATCGGGGTAGGGAGTACTCTTAACAGATTTCTAGCAGGGATGGTGTTAGGTCCAGGTGGAATAGACCCTTTGCTTCTCAACTTTGGATTTCTTGGAATTTTTGGTCTGACGACAGCTACATTTCCACTGTATTGTACGGATTACATCGGCCAAAATATATACTCTCTTATAACAGGAATTTACAGTGGGGGTCTTACTGTATTAATTAATCCTCTGTGTATAGAAATAGTGGGTATATCTCAACTCTCAACAGCTGTAGGACTATATTTTACTTGGGCGGGGATTGCGTGGATATTAGGAGGACCATTTGCAGGTAAATATAACTGTTTTAGGTGATATTTTTACTTTAATTATGATAGATGCTTTTGAAATGACAAAGAATTTATAGCAAATTGCGCATTCCTTTCCAAGGTTTAGTAAACTGTATATATTATCTCTTTACAGGATTTTTAATTGATAACAATGTTTCGTATCAGGTGCTGTTTTTCATATCAGGTAAGTAATATGTTGTTTCCATTGAATGAAATTATTTTGATAATTCAAATAAAGAAAAAAAAATACTGGAAGTTCAGAAATATGGCAGAATTTCTCCGAGAGGTTACATTTGTAATTCTACAAATAATTGTGTTTTGTGAATTTTAAAACACTACAGTTTATATTCATTTCTATTGAATGGGAATATCACAAAAGACTTATAATTATTTAAATCGATTCTTTCCAGGGTCAATATGTATTCTAGGTGCATTTGTAAGTCTCTGTGCATCTCTATGGCACAAGACTACAGACAACGTTGAAAAGACCGCTTCCTTTGTGGACTTTAAGGAAAGCCGTTTTCTTTCCGGATCAGCATACTTTTCAGGTTCCTTCACCGTTATTATTGACAATGGAAACACGACACAACTGCATCAAGGATCTCAAGATTTTGGCAACAAAAACGTTCTTAGTAAAACTAGTGTTGAAAGTCTATTTATGGACAAATATACTTTGAATGATGATGTATCCCCTAAAACAATTGAAGTTTCATCTGAAATTGAACTCGAAAATTTCACACCCAGATCCAGGAAAAAACTGCTTACACGTTTCGATGAAAACATGGATCATTTAAACGAATTAACACCTTTACAGATTCAGGAAATCAGAGTTGTTCCATTGAGTGATTCTGACAGTTGACAATTTTAAAAAGTCCCAGTGAAGTATATTAAATTGATTTTTCAATTTTTATTTACCAGATCCAATTTTTTTTTGTACTTTTGCAAATAAATCGATATATTTTTGAAGGAGCTGAATATCGAAGAGCACCACGTCATTTTAAACTGCAACATCGTCAACGTGCACTTTATCAACCTTAGTAAGATGTCTAAATTAGGGATGCTTACTCCTCCATGGGAACTGATCCCATGTCTAACGTTTTGGAAGGCCATGTTTGCTCTGCTCCTATTTTGTACTGTTTAATGGACTTTTGGGCTCAAATACTGTTCGTTATCTCCACATATTTACTTTTTATTTGAAAAAATGGCAAGAATGTGCACAATTTTTTTTAATGACATCGATCTCTAATCGGCAGATCTCTTGCTCCGTGATTGGAAGTTTGTGGGTTCGAGCCCCGGCTGCGATTAAGTCGATAAAAATAAGTAGCAACTGTTTCTTCGCCAAGGGCTTGCTCCTTTGAAATGAAACTTGTGGGTTCTTCGAAAAAGACCTTAAATTGAGGTCCTGTACCTCAGCTGGTGACGGCACCATTGCGATCTCTCACTTTTAAATCGTCCTAAGTCGATTTAAAGACTAAAAAAGCTCTTGACCGGTAGGTGGTGACGTAACATCAATAAATCAATCTATATCATGTGAGAATATTTTTCCTCTGGTGTGCTTTTCTTCTCATAGACTCTCTAGACACTCCAGGTAGCATATGTACCATACACAATTTAAAATGAAATAAATGCAGAGTTTGCGTAAAAAGGCGCAAGAAGTAGAATGTCCTGTTGATATATTAAAAATTCTAGTACCTTCTGAAGCCGAGTAAGGAGATATTGTAGAGTGTAAATTTAAACTTGTTTAATGTAAGTCTGATTTGTGAATATTTTAAACATGACTCGAAGGATATCAGGGTAACTTCTGTTTTGAATTGGTTGTAAAAAAATTACCATGGCTCATAAACTGTCGTAAAAGGATCATTTTGCTCGTAGAGAAAGTTATTTTGGAGTCAGTTGATAAATTAAGGCCAAAACAGCGATGATAAGTGGGTATCATTAAATACATGGAATAGCTTTATCTGCTTTTAGTTATACATGTAAAAAATATGGATATCACGAACGTTATTTAAGGGGGGACCTATGTCCGAAAAGTCTTTGTGTGAAATTTTCAAAACTTTGACATTTCTTTCCTGACCACTTGCTTTTAGTTTTTAGGTATAAAAAATAATACCTTTATATGCTTATTTTTACACAGGAGCACGTGCAAAAACAGTGTGAAATGCTAAAAATAGATTATCTTCAGACATTATTGTTCTACTCCAAATATGCGCTAAAAAGAACCAAAAATGTCAAATCACATTCGAAATCAACATGTATTTAATTTATATGACTTGTATTTTTAAAATGAAGGCAAATTCATTGTAATTCACCTCGCATGAAAAATTATAAAGGAGCACAATGTAAATCATCGTATTTTTTACAATTCCGACATGCATAACAGGTAATATCTTCAAAAGTCTTTGTGTGAAAATGTTGTAATTAATATTTTTTGAAAGAAATGACCCCTCTCTTTATTTTAACAAAGAAAAAAGTATACCTCTATGATATAAAAAACGAGAAATATGACGTTTTCTTTTATTTTCGTACTCTTCTGTCATAAATATTGACCTTTCTGCACTAAAAAAAGGTAAGTTAGTACTGTTAAACATCTGCATATAAATCTATTTTGCAATAAACGAGTATTTTGTTTTGATAAGAAATAATTAAAACAGATAAACTCTTTTCTTCTTCATTCTAATCAATCTGCCCCCCCCCCTTCCCCGTCAACAACCAACACCTAATAGAACCTAGGAAAGATTTTATACAATAAAATCTACATACACTATAAATCAATAAAATATAGGTACAAGTACATTTCTTAATTTTTTCTTAGTTTTATCCAGAAAATACAATGAATGGTAATCATAAAATTAAACATATTTCCCTGATTTAAGCCGCGGTCTTTGCTGAATTTTATCTTATATTTTTTTGCATTTTTATATCAGCATATCATGGAGGTATTTCTTCACAACTGAAATTGCTATGAATTATCCACCAAAGGAAGAGAATTCTAATATTAACAAACTCCATAAATCAAATAAAACTGTTATAAATGATGAAAAAAAATTTCTTTTTGTAAACTGTGTACGTTATTGCTTAATAACAATGTTATGCCTATAATCACAGTTGCAAAAGTTCGCTATTGTGACGTCACATAACGCTGCTTTGACGTAGAACGACATAGGTCCCCCCTTAAGGAGACCTCCATAAATTCAGGGAAGGAATCATGTTCCAATGCTAGCCATCTTAATGCACATTTTAAAAAAAAAATCATTTTTATCAGATATTCAATCATGTCAAAATTGAGGATTTCATACTGAGGATACTGAACATTATTAAATCAATTGCCCATCATATGTTGTTGAAAGAAACTTATTGGTAAAAAAAATTATATGATATTGTTGATGTTGTTTTTGAACTTGACACTCTGCTAAGAGGAAAATGTCAATACTCTTATCAAACAAATTGCAAAATATTTTCATATGTACAAGAATTTATTAAATCTTCTACGAGACTAAATTGGGAACACTGTTATATTAAATACTTTATTAAATGCATAATTTTTTCCAAATATTTGTATTAATTTTAAGCTGGAACAGTATGTAAATAATATGTTTACAGTTAGGGGTCGTCATCTTTTTTGAAATATAATATTGATATAAATAATACTTGATTGTGAATCTTTATTTTTCATTATAATCTTATTTATTATCGTGTACATGTATTATTATTAACTATTGTATCTTGACCTATTATACAAGGAGAGGGTGTACATGGGCCTTGCCTGTTTCCACACCCTTTCTGTGTTATTCAATAAAATATGTTTAAAGTATGTTCAATGGAGGAGTGAGCATCCCCTGCTGACCGGTTACACCCGCCGTGTGCTCCTTGTCATGAGCGGAAAAAAACGAAAAATCCGCCGACAATTTATTGTTTAAATATTGACCTAACAATTAGCATGCAAATGAGACTGCTGATATTCTTTTTTCATCAACTTCTTTGACAATGATGTACCTCATTTTAGAAATTGTCATTATATGATACTGGTGTACCACGTGTAATTTGAAACAAAGGTCAACATTCTATTGCATTAAGTAAAACTGTATTTTTGAATGGTATCGACTCAATGGATTTTATAAATTTGTTAAATTTATCAATGTCCAACAGATTTCAAATGTACAGCTACACTATTGATTAAATAAAAAGAATTATAGTATATATATTGACCTCGTAAGATCACATAAGATCACTCATCTATCAACTACAGAGGTGAGCGACCAATAGCACAACGGTAATACATGAAGCAGAGGGGAGTACAACAAATAAAATGACTCAATTAAATAGTGCAATTGTTTAAATTCAATTTATTTCTTCGTTGCGTTTGTAAATTTTGGACCATGATGTCTAACTTAATTTATTTGAACTGAAAATTTAATACAATAACTGAAAATCTAAATGTCCTAATCAAGCTAAATCGATGTCACCATACATAAAAACATGAATTATTGTTTACGGAAGCAGTATGACATAGATAAGGGTATTTTTTAGCACTATTATGACCTAGATTTGATTAATTTCATCTTTATCATAATTATTTTGAAAAAAAAGTCATTAAATAAAATTTTACGCTATGGTGAAACTTTAGTCTGAGTCGTAAAATGCAAAATTTTTATGAAAAAAGCCACGAATGTAGAATAACGTCATAAAATGTGTCATATTTCCATATACATGTATCATTAATATTCCTATGAAAAATGGCCTAAAGTTAAAGTTTTTATTTTAATATTTCATATAAAGCAATCCCTTGTTCCAAAATATGCAATTTCATGATGAATTAACTGTTTTTTAAGATCAAAAAAAATTTCATTTCCACAGAGCCTTTTCCCAAATACCTGTATTCTTAAAAATAATTTTAAAGTAGGATATTAAAGCACCAAAATGTCTACAAGACATAAGATAAACGTAATATATGTAGTGTTTTTACCATATCAATCTGGAAATACCCCTCGTTACGATATTCATCTACTTAAATATATCTTTATTTAGACAAGGCTCTTCATACATCTTGATATAGGGAATAATCGCAAGTTTCTGCAACTTTCTCTTGAAATGTAGGCATGACATCTTTCTTCACGATTTTTAAGCACAATGCAGTTTGTGAATTCACGAGAGACAATTGTTACCTTAATAGCTGCGTTTATAATCCACTTTTTGTTATCCTTACTGCTCTATGGAGTTGGTGTTATACATTTGGCGCTTCTTGATGTTTATACACTACCTCAGTCGTTGGGTCGCTGTTCATTAATCATCTGAGCATCTCAGGTACGCTGTATAAACTTAAAAAAAACAACAAAAAAGTCAAATTTAAGTGTAGATAAGATCATAGAGATATTCTTTATGTACAGTGTAACTTCAATCCTCGACACCACTACGTTTATGCAGGATTACATTAGAATTTTAATTTATTATATCAATGGCCGTAAGTACCGAGTATCGGACAAATTTTGAAGCTCTCCACCGGCAAGTGGTGGCGTCTCCATATGAGTGAAAAATTCTCGAGAGGGACGTTCAACAACATATAACAAACAAAACATGGGAGTAATAATATCAATTTAGCAATTGACAAAATAAAACACTTATAATTAGGAATTATTTAACTTCGTGATATCTACATTTACAGATTTTTGTCTATAGTATGCAACAAAAATATGTATTTATGTCAACTTAGATATGTTGACATGCAACTTACCAATCTTGTAAGAAAATATGAAAGGTCTCTTTTTGTATAGCTTTCAATTCGACGTTTTAATCAAATTACAAAATTTTGTTTTCATTTTCATTCATACAGTGAAAAAATATATTCAATAAAGCTAAAAAAAA